CAGAAATGATGAGAAGTGTGAGAAAATAAGTTGAAAATTTAAAAATGTGATTCTCAACATAAGAAATAGGAACAGGAGTAGGCCATTTGGCCTCTTTAGCCTGCTCTGCTATTCTATAGGTTCATGGCTAATCCAACAATCCTCTTGTCCACCTTCCTGCATTTTCCCAGTAATCTTTGATTCCCCTTCTGATCAAGCATCTATCTATAAGGTCAAGAAAAAAGTTTCCAGTTTTCCCCTTAAAGTCTTATTAGCAAAATCAGAATGGCACTGATAAGTAACAACTCCTTATTTCGATGCATCTTGTTAATGCCTCAACTTGTGTAATTTATACACAGCTTGCAATGTTCCCCTCCTCTCCTGAGAAACTGGATGATGTCAATTCATGATTTGAAAGCCCAAGGAATTATTTGATGGATGCAGCTCACTGCTTGCTTCTCCAGGTTTACTTAGAACTTAGAATCCCTACAGTGTAGAAGCAGTACATTTTGCCCATCAAGTCCACACCAACCATCTGAAGAGCATCCCAACCAGACCCCATCTGCATCTCCCATGGCTAACCCACCTAATTCACACATCTCTGTGACACTACAGGCAATTTAGCATGGCCAATCTACCTAACCTGCACATCTTTGGACTGTGGGAGGAAACCAGAGCACCCAGAGGAAACCTACAAAGACACGGGGAGAATGTACAAACTCCACACAGACAGTCACCCGAGGGTGGAATCGAACCCAGGTCCCTGGTACTGTGAGGCAGCAGTGCTAACCACTGAGTCACCCTGCTGTCCAGTACATTTTAATGTCCCTTCACCAACCTGTTCTTGCACATTCCATGCCCAGTGTAGCTCTCCACCCTTCATCAACTAAAGTCAGCATCAGTCTCACCATATTATGGCTGGTGTCAGACCAACTCAGAATCCCAAACAGTCTCTCAGGGCTTCATCTTGGAGTTCAAGGACACCTTTGATGTGGACGGTCCTTTCCATTCACTTTGCACACATGGATTCACAGCCATCTTATGGCTCTTAGCTTCACTTCTTAGCACTTACTCTGTCACTGCTACACCATAGATTGCATTGCTTTTTAGAGAGAAGGAGTTGGAGGGTCAGAAGCTGTGGAGAATTTGAGAGCCGATGAGTGCATTTGCTGCGTGCAATTGTGAGGTTGATGTTCCATGAACACTGGGAAGGCTTGTATGCAGTGGTGTAGTTAGAGTGAGTGTGAGGTAGAAGGGAGAAGATAGTGCTACTTGTGCATGCAGAGCAATGATGATCTTTGAACTTTATCCTGCACTGCTATGCATTTCATCTGAGCCTGGAGACAGAATTGACACAGGTTGCAATGTGAGTCCAGGCTAGTTGCATTTGCTGCCTTGGCCTTCTCTGATGGTCTACCAGGTTGACGATGCCCTTCCTCTTGACCATCCACCAAGACCTCCAGGTCCCTAACCAAAAAATGCCAGCTTCCCTTTCTAAAACATTTCAGTTTCTTTTTTAAGAGGACAGCATGTGAGGTAGTTCTTGACTTACTGCATCAGAAGTGCTGCACAGCCAGATTTTAAATATGGTGCTTACACACTGGGATATCCTGGCAGCAGTGGGAATTATACCTCTCTTGCCACATGATTGGATGAGAGTGACCACAAACAGGTTAGTTGCATAATTAATAAGCAGAGGAGAGAAAGTTAGTAAGAGAAAAGTTGTTATGAGCCATAATGGGATCCCCACTTTGCCTAAAACTGGCTAAACAGCTTTAGCCAAAACTGAAAATCCAAAGTCTTTTCCTGAAAGGCATTCAAAAGACTACTTTCAAATTGAATAGGTTACTTATATATACACGGTCACAAATATTCAAGTTGAGAATGCCATCACAGAGGTGGAGAGGCTTTTTTTGATGCAGTGGTAGTGTCCCAACCGCTGAAGCAGGAGACCCAAGTTCAACCTGCTCCAGATTGTGTCATAACATCTCTGAACAGATTGCTTAGAAAACCTCAGACTGTTAAAAATCTTAACCTGCTGGTAACATCACAAATCAAACCTTTCTGCTATGGACAGAAAGTGATAAGAATAAAGGATTTCAGTCTGCCTTTTTCTCCTGTTCTGATTGCTTTCCACAGTGCACATTATGGAGGAGTTGGGTATCTCTAACAATAACTTTTGTCCATGTGGTCACCAGAATTTGCTGACAACATCACAGGGTAATCAAATCAAATGCTGACAGTTTCACCATGTTTATCAACTTAAAATTTATAACAATTTGTACACTAGTTTATTACCAGTCTCAGCAGATATTTTCTAATCAAGCTGATCAGAGATATTACACAATTCTGGAGCAAGTGGGACTTAAACATGAGCCTGCTGGTTCAGAGGGAGGTACACTACCATTGCACCACTCGAGCATGCCCCCCACTTAGACTCTGTAAGCAGACAATGTTTGCTGCCTTCACCTGGTGTTATCACAGCTATTATTGCTATCATTTTGAAAGAGTCTTACAACTGTGTATCTACAGCTTCAACTTCTTAGACCATAAGATGTAGGAGCAGGATTAGGCCTTTTGGCCCATCGGGTCTGCCCTGCCATTCAATCATGGAGTTTAGCCCCTTTCAATGTATAAACCAACCTAAACAATGATATGAATAAGTCCCAGGGCTGTCAGTTGGCCATCTCCAACTACCCATGACATATCTTTGTTGGCTGCAGCCATGGCCTGATCTGGAACTTGTAATTTGGTAAGTTACATTAGGATGGTTGTCAAGTGCCCTTCAATTCATGTGACAAATTGCATCACCAGAGTGGGTAATCAATCAGAGCACTCATTAGTCAGTTACCCAAAAGTCAAAAATGACCTTAACCCTCCAAGTGTTTACCAGCTCCTGTTTTTACAGTGAACTTCTGGGAAAATTACTGCAGTGCTGTATAATTTCAAACTCTCTTGACATTATAAATCAGTAAATTTTCACTGGCCACCATCATTTCTGAGAAAGGGTCACTCAACCCAAAATGTTAACTCCAATTTCTCTCCATAGATGCTGCCACACTTGTTGACCTTTTCAAACAACTTGTGTTTTTGTTTCTGATTTACAGCATCCGCAGTTCTTTTGGTTTTTATTTTCACTGGAAGCCAGTTTCACTCCTCATAAATAATATAAAATAAAACAAACAGCTCTGGATGCTGGAGATCTGAAATCAAAATAGAAAATTGCTGGATAAACTCAGCAAGTGTGGCAGCATCTGTGGAGAGAAAAACAGAGTTAGTGTTTGCCAGCTCCTTTCAGTTCTAACAATGGTTCACTAGACTGGAGACACTGACTCTATTTTTCTCTCTGCAGATGCTGCCAGATGCTGCTGGGTTTATCAGGTCATAGAGCTCTACAGAAAAAGGCCCAATGGCCAATCGAGACTGTGTCAGACAAAAACAACCACCTAAATATTCTAATTCCATTTTCCAGCAGTTGACCCATAGCCTTATATGCCTTGGCATCACAAGTATACAACAAAATATTTCATAAATGAGGGTTTCTGCCTCTACTATCTTTCTACCATCTTTACAGGCAATGAGTTCCACATACCCAACACCCTCTGGGTGAAAACTTTATTTTCATGTCCGCTCTTAACGTCCTGCCCCTTATCTTAAATCTATGCCCTGCACGCCAAGGGGACAATTTTCTTCCTGTCAGCCCTCCCTATGCTCCTCATATTTTTATACATCTGACGCTGCCTGGCCTGCTGTGTTCCTCCAGCTCCACACTGTGTTATCTGTGACTCCAGCACCTGCAGTTCTTACTATCTCCCAGTCTGTCCTAACCCATTTCATAATTAAAACCCTCCAGCCCAGGAAGCAGCCGAGTAAATCTCTGCACTCACTCCAGTGCAATCACCTCCCCCCACCACCTACAATTCTCCAGCACTGTCTTCTTGTTTCACCTCGCATAAAGATCGGAGTCGACTTCTTCTCAATAGATTCCCAAACCTTTACCGGGACAGCAAAAGCTAAAGTGTACTTAGCTCGGGTGGAAAGGGAACAAGCCAGAGCAAGGGGAGGGGCGGCAGTAATACAAAGGACACTTGATAGAAACTACATTGTGAAGGGAGCCTGATCACACGACTAACCAGGTTATAGTCCAACAGGTTTATTTGTAAACTATAACCTGGTGTCGTGTGATTTCTGACCTTGTCCACCCCAGTCCAACACCGGCACCTCCATATCAAGGAAGCCTGAGAGACAAGAGGATAGCAACAGGGAAGAAGAAACCATGGAGGAACTGGAAAGAGTGTCGACAGCAGAAATCAATCTCAAACTGAAGTGCACATAAGCAAACACTCATATGAAAGTATGAAAATCTTCATTGTTGCCTTGGCACTGGTCAGTACATTTAGGATCTAAAAACAAAGGTAAGACCTTTCGGACGTTGCAGCTCCCAATTTTTCACACAACAGGGCGCTCAGTTTCTCACTGTCCGCGCATCTGCCAGCTCAATCCTATACACCGTGAATATATAGACTTGTAATTAAAATGCAAATAATTTAAACCTGTAAAAAAAAACATGAGCGGATATAACCTGCCGTTTTAACATACTGTTAGTAATGCAACACTAACCAAGTAACTTGAATATGGCCAGCAAAGTAGAAATGATAATTCGTAAATGTCCCCCAACCGAAAGAATTTACTCAACCCAACACCTCACAAACATATACACGAAAAAAAATGCATTTGAAATTCTTATCCACAGGCATAACTGTTCGATTGTAAACACTGGTTATTTCCCCCAGCGTTTTGAGAAGTGTTGTCACAATAGAGAATACGAGGCGATTGAACACAGCATGTCCGTTCCCGATACACACACACACCAATAAGGCGTCAGGAATCTCCTTCTCCAACACTTTCTCAAAGCCCCCGAAACGCGGAGAGACATTGACGAACCTTCTCTACCTTTCCCTAGTGTGCCCCGAGAGTAAGCCGCTGCCTGTGGGTTCTAAGGTTAAAAGCTGTGTTCTCACCCAGTTGCTGACAGTGGTCACTAGGCGCCAGCCCATGTTGCAGTATCTAGCAGCAGCACCACCGCACCCGCCCCCCACCCCGTTTTGCTGTCAGCCAGGTGTGAGCTCGCACCACTTTCCCCCCCCCGGCCGTCAACAATAGCAATACACACCCCAGGGACCGCAGCCCTCAACACTGCCTTCCATTGGGCAGCAAGGTAGGCGAAAGCGTCAGGAAAATGCAAATAAGGGGAGGTTTTGTTTTACCCCTTCTCGAATGCCGAAAGGACACTCGTATTAGTAAACCGAGATTGCCAGAGCAATCAGCTAATACTCATTTCAATCACCTTCCTCAATTCCAGTAAAATGACCTGCTTTAGTGCGAATGGCATTTGTATGAAAAACAAAGTCCCCATCCGAATAGCTTGTTTCTTATTTGCATTGATCATGTATATCGGTAGAAACGTTCTCCTGTATAATCTGCTTTGCAGATCAGGGACCCCAGACATGCTCTGAATTGTTCCCACTGTCTTTTTTCCAAAAATCTATTTTATTCATGAGAAAATATCTTTGTACATGTACATAGTTACAAATGCAGTTCGATTCTGTACAGTAGCATATCAAGGAAACAAACATTGGAGTTTGATTCTATCCAAACAAACCAAAGATACCTTTTATACACACAAGACTACCTTGATATCCATTGAGGCATTAGGAAGGTCCGATATCTGAACAAACCTCCATTTAGCTTGGGCGGGAAGACATCAGAGAGTGGTCTTTCCCCACTGCACCCTGGTGGCAGCTGCCTCAAGCTTTAGTGTGTCCCTCAGCACGTAGTCCTGGACCTTGGAATGTGACAGTCTGCAACACTCGGTGGAGGTCAACTCCTTGTTCTGGAAAACCAACAAGTTACGGGCAGACGAAAGAATGTCTTGTTCCCACTGCTAAGAGAGTCTATAATTACAGGGCACAGAAATGGGGAAAATGGCAAAAGAACTAGATTGGGGGTTAGTTTTTTTTTGCTTTCACTGTAACTTGTGATTTGGAGTGAGCTGCTTCAAAGGCTATGTAAGAAAACAAAGAAATGCAGTCCTCATGGTAGATAACAAGGCGTAGAGCTAGATGAACACAGCAGGCCAAGCAGCATCAGAGGAGCTGACGTTTCGGGTCTGGTCCCTTCTTCAGGAATGGGGGAGGGGAAATGGATTCTGAAATAAATAGAGAGAGGAGGGAGGCGGATGGAAGGTGGATAAAGGAGCAGATAGGTGGAGAGGAGACGGACAGGTCAAGGAGGCGAGGATGAAGCCAGTAAAGGTGAGTGTCAGTGGGGAGTTAGGATGGGGGTTTGTCAGTCAAGGGAAGACAGACAGGTCAAGGAGACGGGGATGAGGCTGGTAGGTAGGAGGTGGGGGTTGATGTGGGAGGAGCGGATAGTGGGAGAAAAGACGGACAGGTCAGGGAGGCGGGGTTGAGCTGGGCTGGTTTTGGGATGAGGTCGGGGGTGGGGAGATGTAGA